TTAATTTTTAATTTTTAATTTTTAATTTTTAATTTTTAATTTTTAATTTTTAATTTTTAATTTTTAATTTTTAATTTAACAATGATTTAGTCTGATTGGAAATTAAAAATTCAAATTGTTTTGCGAAAGTGCATTTTTTTAGTTATTAACGTTAAACAAATTATTTTTAATACATTTAAGCCAATAATCTATTTTCCCTATCAGCCAATTAAAAACTCTAGTATAGAACGCGATAAATGTATAAATTACATCTTCCTTATCCTTTGGGATGCAATACCTTAACATATTTCCTTTCTTCTAAGAAACGAGATGACTATACAAATTGGTATTAACGGGTATAAAACCATCAATTTGTCAGAATGCGATGGTATTGTTTAATAAAATATTCATCCACTTTTCACTTTAGTTTTGGAAGGATAGGACGACTTGTTCTTCGCTCTTGTGTAAACAATCCGAATGTCCAAGTTGTTGCCTTGAACGATCCATTCCTGAGCCTTGAATCTATGGTGAGTAATGTCATTCTTTCGGGTTTTTTAAGGAAACATAAGCTATTCGCTACAATCCGAAAATATTGTCCCTAAAAAAAGTAATGATGACTCTTCATTTTTCGCTGGTTAAAAAAAAACAAAAAATGCTATTTTAAAATTATTATTTGTACTGTGCGTGATTTAATGACGTTGAAGGAAATATAAGATAAATGCATCACTGAAAACGAAATGATCGATATTTCTATTTATACAGCTTTACTTGTTCAAATATGATACCGTCCATGGACGTTTCAAAGGTCATGCTGAAATAAAAGATGGAAAATTGCTTGTAAATAATTGTGAAATTTACGTTTTTGCCGAAAAAAATCCCAAGGATATCAAGTGGGGAGAAGTTGGTGCTGACTATATAGTTGAATCTTCTGGTATTTTCAAAACTATGACAAAAGCATCGCTTCATTTGCAAGGTATTAATAATGTCTTTTTTTAAAAAAGTTGAATAATCGAAAAAATTATTAGTAATTAATATTTTATGAAATTTCTAAAATTACTAGGGGTATTCTAGATTTTCTAGACTTCAAGATTGACTCTTGTTTATCTTTTGTCCTTCGTAATTATAATTTTCTTTTTTTATGACAATTTTATTAGGGTGCAAAAAAGGTAAATCTATTTCGTTAAGAACCTATCAGAAAACAAGCAACATATTAAAATGAATTCAGGTCATAATTAGTGCACCGAGTGACGATGTGCCAATGTTTGTTTGCGGTGTAAACTTGGAAACTTATAAACCCGAATACAAGATTATCTCCAATGCTTCTTGTACTACAAATTGTTTGGCACCGATCGTCAAGGTTCTCAATGATAATTTTGGTATCATCGAAGGTTTGATGTCAACTGTCCATCCAACTACAGCAACTCAAAAGACTGTTGATAGTTCTAACAAAGTATAATTATTTTATATTGTTATTGGTATAAATCATTGAAACTTGAACTTATTATTTTTTGTTTTACAGGACTTGAGAAGAGGTCGAGGAGCTGGTATTTGACAATTGTCATCAACTTGTAGCAATTAAATGATATGATGTAATTCACTCTAATTACGATTTATTAAATAGCGCAGAACCTTATTCCTACTTCCACGGGAGCCGCAACAGCCGTTGGCAAAGTTAGTATATTTTTATATACTTTATTATATTCTATCTTATATACATCTCTATTATATTAAAAGGGAATTGCTACCGACACAGCAAACACATGACCTAATTCTGCTATATAGCACTACCCTTAACTATAGTGCTAATCATGCTGTGTCGTTAAGGTTAGTGTTGGTCATTAGTTTTGTGTCGGTAGTAAGTTACCACTAAGTTACCGGTAAATTATATGGTAACTTACCATAGTAATTGATCACAGTAAGTTACCGCTAAAAACCCCGGTTAGTAGCAATCTTCTATTAAAATCGTTAGAATCGAATCCTATGCAAAGTAGTATAGTCATAAATTTAGTAACATATGATCATAAGAGTTGATTACGTAGACTCTTTAGACTGAACACATATAAACCTATACCCTAACTCAATCCTAACCCTAGCCTTAACTATTTGCAGATAGTATAACCTACTATATAACATATTATGCGTGTTTTTACGTATGCCATACGTACTATGTGCAACACCGTTAAAATTACGTATTAGCATCATGCGGATAGATTAGTGGAGCAACCAAAATTCAGCAGATCGACCAAAATTTAGGGTCGGAATAAGCCTGGATCTTGGCTGACATTAAGCAATAATACCAGCCAGCTATACTACAGCAAAATTATCATCTGGGCAGCTTTACTTAGTACGTGAGCTACCATTTCATTGGCAAAATTTTGGGTGATTTTGTGGAGAAATTTATCAATTCCGGCCTATTCCGTCCTACATTTTGGTCGACCTGCTGAATTTGGTTGATCCATTAATCTATCCGCATCATGTATCACATTACCAGTTGTTTAGTTTCTTTTATTATTTTATATAATAAAGGATTCTTCCTACATGAATAAAATAGTCAGCTTATAATGACGTAACAT